AACGAGTAGTCGGGAACAGATGAAAAGCTCAATGGTTTAGGTCTCGGCCTGTGTCTCCTTGACAGGGCCTGGATTCCATGATCCCATAGGGTCCAGAGGCTGGGAGTTCACTTCTCAACTGTGCCTCCTTGATAGGGCCTGGATTCCATGATCCCATAGGGTCCCTTCCAGCTCTGCAGTTTTAAGACTAATACTAAGACATATGTTCCACAGCACAGTGCTATTCACGCCAACCTAGTCCAGAGTTTCTTTGGCCAAAATCTCATTCAATATTTCCATGTGTGGAACTCCAATGGCAGACTCTGCTATGATAATCTGAAAAGGTATCCATTACATGGCTGGTTGCACATGCTTGGCTCATCACCAGGCTGCCACAGCAGTTTCTGTAATTAAAGTTTCACATACATGTAAATAATGAGAAATGTTTTGGCCACTGAGTTTAACAGGGTTTGGTCCCAAGGAAACAGCTTGCACACTTTCTTTTCATTCAGTTTGCATTCTGGTTTTCTTCTTCTTCTTCCCCTTTTTATGCCTTATTTTGATTTATATCCTGCCCTTCTCACAGCTGGCAGTCAAGTTAGATTTCATTCATTCATTCATTCATTCATTCATTCATTCATTCATTCATTCATTCATTCATTCTATTAATCTTATATCTTCTTCCCAATAAAGAGACTCAAAGCAGCTTACAAAACGTTTCAAAGACAAATGTAAGCACAGTTAAAAACACAATAAATTACAATACTGAAAGACAACCTAATCTATCATGTAGAACAACCGTTGAATAAAAAGGCCTCTTCTGAGGATCTAACAACCCAAGAAGGCATATTTGGGGAAATGTGGTTTCACATTTTGTATAAATATGGGAACCAAAATTTAGCTCTATTGTTTCAAAATTAACACTTTGAATTTTGCCATTCTTTTTCCTCCTGTGAAAACACAAATGCAAAAATACGTTGAGGAAAGCACACAGAAAACACATTATGTGATGAAAATCACTTGTCAAAAATGTATAGAGCCAGTTGGATAGCTCAGTGGTTTAGGCACCTGACTGCAGAGCCAAGAGGTTGGGAGTTCGATTCCCCAGTGTGCCTCCTAGGGGAAGAACCAGCCTGTGTAGCCATGGGCAAGCTGCACAGTCCCAGGGTGACCCAGAAGAAGAAAATGGTAACCCACTTCTGAACACTCTCTACCTAGAAAATCCTGAAAAATGGGTCACCATCAGTCAGAACTGACTCAATGGCATGGAATTATTATATAATAGTATGTAGAGGAGGCAAAATTGCACACACACAAAAATGTATTAAAATAAATATGCACTACATATGATTTAAATAGGTGATTAAATATTTTGAAAGATAAACCAAATTCAAGGCTGAAAAAAGACAGAGAGAAAAGACAAAGAGAAGGAGAGGCCCAAACTAACAGATGCCTCTATCCCTTGAAAGCATGTGATGACTTTACATCATAAGCTTGTGCAACCAGGGAATCTATGGCCTTCCAGGTGTTGTTGAGTCCCATCTTCCATCAGTGCTGACCATGAGGTCAAACAGTTGGGGGTTTGGGAATCCAGCACCATCTGAAAGTCCATCTAATTCTCAGTGCTCTACAATAAGTAAATAGGAGATGGAGTGACGTGTGTAAACATGGGGATGAATTTTTCACCTCACAAACATAACTCCCTTAGTGGCCTCCCCGCCCCCCCCCCACATGCCACTCATTAACATACTCAGTTGTTGAACTGAATTTTTCACCTCACAAACATAATTCCCTTAGTGGCCTCCCCCCCCCCCACATGCCACTCATTAACATACTCAGTTGTTGAACAGAGGTCCTGAAAACTTTAATAGCTGCAAGCTGTTGTATAATTACAGGAAGCATGTTTTTAATGGAGTAAATTAGATACAACACAGAAAGGATCCTCCCTCCTGGAGATGAGGAACCTGGCATTCCGCATTCAATTCAGTAAAAATTAAAAAAATATATATTAACAAGGCAAATGAGTTTTGTTTAACAATGCAAGGCTACTTCTGAAGGGAGCTGCATGAACTCCAAAGCAGACATCACTTTCAAATGAAAGGGAGTTGGTTGGGAGAAGGTTGGAGGGAACCCCAGGAGGCGTTCCTCCCGCCATGCTTCCCTTCTGAGACTTGGTGGCACCAGAACAGGACATGATCATTGAAAGTGGTAGTTAGGGGGGTGAAATTCAGTGGACGATTGCCCAAGAGGAGGGCTATCCTTGCGAAAACAAACACTGTCAGGTTGAAATGTTTTGCTTCTCATCCAAATAGCTTCTTCAGTGAAGAAGATACTTGGATGGGTAGTGAAATGTTTCAACCTAACAAGAAAGAAGTCCAGTAGCCATGACTCAACTTCCAGATACCATGAACTTGGTTTTCTAACCAAGGTGGGGCTCGTCAGCCATGGAAGGCAGCCCATCTAGGAGAAGGAAAACTCCGATTTCAAACCTCCACTGCCTTGTGGCTATATCCATTCATGGAAAAGGCTTCAGGAGTTAACCTCATGGCAAAATCCGGAGCCAGAGTCCCGGAGGCAGTTCGTGCCATTCTGTCAACTCCTGCAACATCGCTGGAACCAGTTGTATTGGCTCTTGCCTCTCCATTGGACTATTTCAGTGATGTGGAGAGGGGAGATTTGCTGCTTGGGTAACAGCCTGTCATCCATATTATTTTACCCAGGCTTCATGCTCTGGAGAGGACACTCCAGCTTCGTATACAGCATCAAATCGACGCTGTTCCAAGTCCTCCATACAGAGCACATTACCATAGTCTATTGAGACTGAAGAATGCCTATGAACCATTCATTTTTAGACTGTGTTTATTCCTTACTTCATTGACTTTATTGAGTAACCTTGCAGACCATCTGAACTGTCAGGTAGTATCAATAGGGCATTTTTAACATACTGCCATTTGAATCGGCAAGTGCTTATCTAAAAATGTTCTGAGTTTCTGGGAGTAAAAGCCCATACATGAAAAGCAATTAGATTAGTCCCAAGGCTCTCTGTCAGAGGTGCATAGGAGAAGTACTTCTGTTGGTGGCTGCCTCTATAAAGTGTAATGGGCCAGGGGACTCATCTTTCCATGCATCTCTGTGAGTCTCAGAAAGCCTTGAGACTTCCACAGTGCATCATGGTTGTCTTATTGCAGCTCAAAGCATAAGTGGCACAGGAAGCACATCCATGGGCTTTCATTCGCAGCATTCAGCCAGGGGTTTGGGGACAACGTCTAGCAGTAGATGTCCTAGAACAGTGGTGACGAACCTTTTTGGGCTCGTGTGCCCAAACGGGGGGGGGGGGACAGGGGGCGGGATGCTGGGGTGGTGGAACTGGAAGTAGCGGTGGTGGAACCAGAAGTGGCAGCAGATGGGGGAATCCCAGGCATGGAGGTACCTTGAGACCCCACTCCGGATCCACTGGTGGAAATAGCTGCTTCAGATCCTGACCCACTGCTTGTCCAGGCACCAGCACCGCAGTTGCACCCACCTGCTCAGGTTTGGCTGGGGGAGGGGGAGTAGCAATCTAGTGACTTATGGCTTTTGTGCCGGCAGAAAGAGCTCCATGTGCTAGCTGTGGCATGTGTGCCATGGGTTTGCCACCGCTGTCCTAGAAGAACAAAGATCCCATCTGTCATGTTCACGTAGAATGGCCTCTCCTTTCTGAGAGGCTCTTCATTTTAAACACTGATATAGCAAGCCATGTCTATGTTGGCTTGGGCATGTCATGAGAATGGCTGGTGGTCGGATTCCAAAAGATCTCCTGTATGGAGAATTAGTGCAGGGAAATCGCCCCAGAGAGAGACCACAGCTGCAATACAAGGATATCCGCAAGCGGGATCTGAAGACCTTAGGAATGGACCTCAACAGATGGGAAACCTTGACATCTGAGCGCTGGAGGCAGGCAGTGCAGCATGGCCTCTCCCAATTTGAAGAGACCCTTGTCCAGCAGGCCAAGGCAAAGAGGAAGTCACAAAAGCAGCAAAACCAGTCTCAGAAAGCCTTGAGACTTCCACAGTGCATCATGTATTTGTCTTCAGTGTGGAAGGGATTGTCACTCTCGAATGGCCTTCTCAGCCACACTAGATGCTGTTCCAAGTCCTCCATACCGAGCACATAACCATAGTCTCTCGAGACTGAAGGATGCCTAAACAAATAGCAAGCCAGCACTATGTGGTCTTCAGGCTGGACATGGACATGTCTATTGAATTTTGCCAGTGTGAACTGAAAGTATTTTTGTTGCATTTATTTTGCAGATTGCAGTGTAGAAAGAACTTGGGGGATTTAATCCCTCTGAAAGTAAGATGAAATGAAATGAGAGATTTCTTTATCCCATCTTGGGCATTCTGAGGATTGTAGGATGTTTCTTTTCTCTTGTTCCTTTTGCATCATTGTGTGTTTGCTCAGTTTGCCACAAACGCTGCTAGTTTAGGGCAGCTCACATATATGGAATCCCAAAGACTTAAATGCCTATCGTGCAAAACATTGTCTCTTGCGTGGGTATGAAAGCTGGGGCAGTATGGAGACATGGCAAAACCGACAGGAGGCAAAATGCAAAGGACCTCTCTGAAAGCATTTAGCTCCAACCGCCCGATTGCCCCATGGAAAACAGATTAATTAAGCAGCACAACACAGGAAGGTGTGCAAGCCAAGCAACATTTTAACATTTCAGACTGCTTCACTGGCATAAAGTTAGCTCTCTTTGATGACTTTAATGTTGGGGGGGATTACAAGCAAACACATTTGCCATTTATGACTTCCATGAAAACCAGTTCCATGGATTAATGAGCTCATTATTCTGTGGCCAAGCCCAGATTTCCAAAGGTATATAAACTACAGCTTCTGGTGGTCATGTGAAAAAGGCTCAATTCTCTACATGCCTGCCTGATTCGCTCTCTCTCTCTCTTTCTCTCTCTCTTTCTCTGTTGAGGCTTCTACTTACAGCTTAGTTTTGCTTCTGCAACTTCCTTTCTCTTGCTCACAACAAAATGAGCCCTCCATGCTTCAGTTCCAGATCCTACAGTGGAAGAGGGAATTTTGCCGGTGACTCAGCCATCAGCCGTGGATACAGGGGCGCAAACAGCTTGTCTTCCATCTGCTACACCGGAGCCGGCCGGTGTGGTGGCTACAGCAACATCAGCCACTACAACATTGGGCGTAGCAGGAGACTTTCTGGAGGAAACCTTGGTGGATTTGGAGGAAGCTCTGGTGGATACTGTGCAGGCTTCAGAGATTACAGCAGCTTGGGTTATGGCTCGGGGTCCTTGGGTTATGGTACTGGGCCTGTTGGTTATGCGCCTGGCATTGCAAGGCCTGGGGGCTTTAGCAGTCATAGTGTAGGTGCCTACACTCATGCTGAAAGAGTCAGCACTCATAACGTTGGAACCTATAGCCCTGAATATAGTGGTGCTTATAGATGCAGTGGCTTCAGCAGCCGGAGTCTTGGTGGTGGTAGTGGTGGTGGTAGACCCTATAGGATAGCTGGCTTTGGCACTCGCAGTCTGGGGGGTGGTGTATGTGGCAGCCTAGGCATTCTTGGTGGCGGTCTCGTTTGTGGTTTGGGCTATGAACCCCATGGCCCTGTAGGAGATGGCAGAGGAATCCACACAGTCAGAGTCAATGCCAACCTCTTGCGTCCCCTCTGTATCACTGTTGACCCTGAAATCTCTCGCGTGAAAGAGGAAGAGCGTGCACAAATGAAAACCCTCAATGACCAGTTTGCCTGCTTCATTGACAAGGTGAGCTTCTATAACAATGGTCTGTTCCATGTTGTTTTAAGTAGCCAACTGGAAGGAGACAAAGACAAGCTAGCTTACATTTTTAAGAGAGCAATTGTTTACTTCCTCCGACCCTCTGAAAGTGTTTGACAAAGCTGTTTAAGTAATTAGACCTTTTTTGTCTTCTTCTAAGTCTGCTTGCCCAAACAGAAAATGCTATCAGGGATGGTCGTATGCCCAGTGTGCCACCCAGAAACGTATCCTGGCAGGAGCAATAAAGAGACTGAGGCTAGAGGATTCATCAGAAAACATTTCTTCCTATGTTAAGCATCTCAGACAATATAAAATCCTGCTTTGGCAGAAGAAGGATGAACACCTAAGGAAATCTTGGTTAGAATTAGGTGCAGTAGCTTTGAAAAGAGATACAGCCAGGTTTTGGTCATTCGTGTCAAAGGGAACCAATACTTATTCTGGTGCCTCAGACAATCAAATAACTTCCACCGAATGGCAAGCCCATTTCTCAGCTCTTTATAGTCATACCATTTCTGGGACTAAACCAGAACCATCCTTTAGTATGGCTCCATCAGGGATACCTGCTGGCCCCTTTCCTCTTCAGTTTCTGTATTAATATCATAGTCCAAGAACTGAGCAGTCTGGAGTTTTCCCCACCCAGAATTAGGGATGTCAAGCTCTCGGTCCTTCTATATGCAGATGATATTGCAATGGTCTCCACAACATTAGTTGGTATCCAAAGACTCTTGACCAAATTGAGCAAATTCTGGCAAGAGAACATCTGACCATCAATTACACCATAACTAAAGTTGTAGTTTTTGGAAAGAAGAGGAAATTCCAAAAATGGAAGCTTGATGGTAAACCATTGAGCAGCTATGCAATTTTAGATATCTTGGCCTTTGTTTTAATGCCCAGCTTTCATGGAAATACAATCTGAAAGCAAATAATCTGAAAGCATCTCAGTCCTCTCAGTCTCTTTTGTAGTTTACCACAACCCATGGTGGGAGATTGGTGGCCTCTGCAGTTGAAGTGTTTGCAAGGAAAATCATACCCCAAGTAACATATGGGGCAGAGATATGAGGATATACAAAGACTTACACCGAAGTGATCCAAAATTCTTTTATTCAACCTCTTCTAACTGTCCCCCACAGCACACTTTCTGCATATCTAAGGGCTGAAGTAGGACTGATTCCAATTGAAACACATTCTCATATTGTATTGGCCATATATTGACTGAAATTGGCCAGCATGAATGACTCTCGCCTTCCTAAGAAGTACTACACAGAACAGCTCCAGAATCCATCTCGAAAATCCTGGGTGAATTTTATTAGACCAATTTTGCAGAACTATGGGATTGACACAGACTCCCTTGCTACCTTTGTTTCCAATAGAGCTAAGCATCTGGTTAAAGGAGGGGAAAAAACACTATTTACTGTAAGAGGCAGGACCTCTGTGCCATCTCAGAAATGTCCTATTCCTGATGGTTCCCCTTGTATCATTTTGTTTGGAGGACTATTTTGTTAATTTAACCTCATCCCCTCTAAGAAAAGCTCTGCACCTTCAGTGTATGCCAACAGCTATATTAGTAGGAAGATATGAAAATGTCCCTTTTGACCAAAGACTTTGTATATGTGGTTCAGGAGAAGTTGAAGATGTTTCTCATTATTTGTTAAGATGTCCTTTA